GAATCCTCGTTCTTTTGCCCAGGATACCTGGCGGTAAGGACACGCTTGTCAACGCTCCGACTCCCTTGAGCACGCGGAAGCTCTAAGTGCCCAAGTTGAGCCCACGGAACTGCTGGAAACTAAACTGCAAGCCCATCAGATCTGCTCGTTTCTGCTCCCCTCCAGCTGATGTTTGAGGACACAGAACTGCGGAGGAAAGCAACAACTCCATCAAGCAAGCTGTAAGTTATAACTCAGCACAGAAAGAAACTTTGCTGTCTCTGTCCAGCCCGTGGAGAAACACTCGTGAACGCCAAACAACGGAGAAAGCATCAAACCGACGGACGACGCCGAAAGCTGCGGAGAAACACGGAGAACCGTCAAATCAAAGAGGGAGGGACGCCTCGCTCTTCTGGTGATCAGCAACTCATCTCTTTCTCTCTCTCCTTCTTCTTCCGTTAACTCTATAGTCCAGAATAAGCAATAAAACCGCGCTATTGCTTAAAAAGTAGCTTCGTGTTTTCCTCTTTCGTCCCAAACACGTCCGTCGGGTCATTTTGAAAGAATAAACTGCTTATTGATCATTGTTTGGTATCTTAAAATGGTTTCTGTCATGGCCAGGCTGAAACTAAAAGATATTAATTTGTGATTAATCTTTTGTGTTGTTTCATGATCTTTTGAAATGTTTTGAGTGATTTAAGGTTAAGTTACTACTGATTCTAAGTGCTTTGGAAGTTAAAGTGCAAGTTGCCACCCACACTTTAGCCAGACAAAGGGGTCAGCCATCTTGTATTCAAGACTCCATTTTGAATCCATACACACGCACACACACACACACACACACACACACACACACACACACACACACACACACACTACTCCTTTGTGAGAACAAAGGACCCCATTCATACATCCTCCATCACATGCAAACACATCCATCTTCAATCATATCACACGGTTATTATTCATCTATTCCACTGTTTATTCATTTGACAAATTGTTAATTAAATGTTATAAAATTCAGATGTTTGTGTCCAGTAGCTTTGTTGTGTCGAAGAGAAGTCTCTGCTCCGAGGATTCTACGAACTTCAAGAAAGACTGATAAGAGTTTTGGATTCATTTCCCTTTCTAATTAAAGGGTGGTGCCCCGAAGATATCTAAGAATATCTTAATTAATTAATAAATCAGTAAATAGTTCCATATTTACAGAATTTATTGAAGAATCCAAAAGTAAGTTAAAGCTTACGAATTGTTCGCTCCTAATAACCCCAACATTACATTCAAATCTTCCTCTCATCAGCAACCTAAAGCCATCTCATTCTTCACTGTAGCACCTACCTGCACCTCAGCAGGTCTGGCGCTCCCTGTCTCCCCCTCAGCAGGTCTGGTGCTCCCTGTCTCACTCTCAGCAGGTCTGGCTCTCCCTGTCTCACTCTCAGCAGGTCTGGCTCTCCCTGTCTCACCCTCAACTGGTTCCTGCTGAACTTCATCTGATCTCTAATATAAAAACAGTGGACAGGGATAAGGAGTAAAAATACTGTTGGATGACTAGTGGAACATTAAAATCATGGTTGTTATAGTATTATTTAGTCGTGTTCACTTGTTATCATGCTCGAATCTTCCTCTCATCATCAACCATCTAAAATCTCACTCCACTGTAGCACCTACCTGCACCTCAGCAGGTCTGGTGCTCCCTGTCTCACCCTCAGCAGGTCTGGCTCTCCCTGTCTCACCCTCAGCAGGTCTGGCGCTGCCTGTCTCACCTTCTTCATCATTTCTTGCTGAACTTCCTCTGGTCTCTTATATGAAAAAAGTGACATGAATAAGGTTTAAAAATTAAATGTGATGAGAATGTCACAAACAAGCAACAATCACACTTACAAATTCCATTTTTATGTGGAGATTCTACTTTATTTATTTCGTGTCAAATGGTTTTTGTCTGTTACTGTAAAATTCACCATTTTTTGTTGACTAGAAGTGTTGTTTAATGTTTAATGCTAACTAGGAAGATGTTTACGCTAGTCAGCCATTTTAGCGTTTGACCAGAAATACAATTATACTCTTGGACTAAATTATTACCAACTCACAATTCCTTTCTTTCTTTTTTTGCCCATGAGAAGAACTCGCTGAGCTGCTGCCGTCTGTCTGACACCTGTGTCTGCCCCGGCTCTGACTCCTGCTTCACTCAGCCAGCCTGTCTACTCCCTGAGGGGAGGGGCTGTGTTGGAGAGAAGTCCGCGGTGTCTTTCAAAATAAAAGCTCGCGAGTCAAATATTTCAAAATCACTCTTTTTCTTCTCCATGTTATTGGGGGGGGACGAATGCGCGTTTGTCAAATATTGGAGGGGACACGTCCCACCCATCCCCCCCGGTTCCTACGCCCTTGCTAGGAGCTATGTTGTCTGGGGCACTTTGTGCCCCTGGTAGGGTCTCCCATGACAACCTGGTCTTAGGTGAAGGGTGAGACAAAGAACGGTTCAGAGGATCTTTCATGGATGTACAATCAAAGAGTCGGAGTACCCGGCCCGGAGGGTTACGGGGGTCGCACCCTGGTGCCAGGCCTGGGGTTGGGGACCGTGAGCGAGCGCCTGGTGGCCGGGCTTTCGCCCATGGGACCCGGCCGGGCCCAGCCCGAACCTGATACGTGGGCTCATCCAACTGTGGACCCACCACCTGCAGGAGGAACATGAAGGGTCCGGTGCAGTGGATCGGGTGACAGACCGAGGCAGGAGCCTTGGCGGTCCGACCCCCGGACAAGGAAACTGGTTTTTGGGACATGGAACGTCACCTCGCTGGCGGGGAAGGAGCCGGAGCTTGTGGCAGAGGTTGAGCGGTACCGGCTAGATATAGTCGGACTCACCTCGACACATTGCATTGGCTCTGGAACCCGAGACCTGGAGAGGGGTTGGACACTCTCCTTTGCTGGAGGTGCTCCGGGTGAGAGGCGGAGGGCTGGGGTTGGCTTTTTGTTAGCCCCGAGACTCTCTGCCTGTGTGTTGGGGTTTACCCCGGGGGATGAAAGGGTAGCTTCCCTGCGCCTTCGGGTCGGGGAATGGGTCCTGACTGTTGTTTGTGCTTGGGGCCAAATATCAGTTCAGAGTATCCACCCTTTTTGGAGTCCATGGGACGAGTGCTAGATAGTGCTCCATCTGGGGACTCCACTGTCCTGCTGGGGGACTTCAATGCTCATGTGGGCAATGACAGCATGACCTGGAGGGGTGTGACTGGGAGGAACGACCCGCCTGATCTGAACTCGAGTGGTGTTTCGTTATTGGACTTCTGTGCAAGCCGCAGTTTGGCCATAACAAACACCATGTTCGAACATAAGGATGCCCATCGGTACACTTCTTACCAGGGCAGCCTAGGTCGCAGGTCGATGATAGACTTTGTAGTCGTATCATCTGGCCTGCAGCCGTATGTTTTGGACACCCGAGTGAAGAGAGGAGCGGCACTGTCAACTGATCACCACCTGGTGGTGAGTTGGATCAGATGGCAGGGGAAGATGCCGCGTAGACCTGGCAGACCCAAATGCATAGTGAGGGTCTGCTGGGAACGCCTGGCAGAAGAACCTGTCAAGATGGTCTTCAACTCCCACCTCCGGCAGAGCTTTGACCACGTCCCGAGAGCAGTGGGGGACATTGAGTCCGAGTGGGCCTTGTTCCACTCTGCGATTGTTGAGGCGGCTGTTGCTAGCTGTGGTCACAAGGTGGCCAGTGCCAGTCGTGTTGGTGACCCCCGTACCCGCTGGTGGACACCAGAGGTTCGGGGAGCTGTCAGGCTGAAGATGGAGGCCTACAGGGCGTGGCTGGTCTGCAGGTCTCCCCGGGCAGAAGACAGGTACCGGATAGCCAAGCGGGGTACAGCAGTGGCAGTTGCTGAGGCAAAATCTCGGGCGTGGGAGGAGTTTGGTGAGGCCATGGAGAAAGACTATCGATCGGGTCCAAAGAGGTTCTGGCAAACTGTCCGGCGCCTCAGTAGAGGAAGGCAGCAACTTGCTCACACTGTTTACAGTGGGGATGGGGAGCTGCTGACATCAACTGGGGCTATAGTCGGACGGTGGAAGGAATACTTTGAGGAGCTCCTCAATCCCACCTATGCGCATTCCGAGGAGGAACCAGAGCAGGGAGGCCTAGGGATGGACTGTCCAATCTCAGGGGCAGAAGTTGCTGAGGTGGTCCAACAACTACACAGCGGCGGAGCCCCGGGGGCGGATGTCATGGTCTGTGTCTGTGTCTCTTTGTATTCCTCTTGTGTCCCCTGGTCTTCAGCCCTCCAGATATTTCCTCTCAGGTCCTGTGTTCCTTCAGTCTCCCCACCATAATTTCCATAGGTCTATTATTCCAGTTGTGTGTGTGTGTGTGTGTGTGTGTGTGTGTGTGTGTGTGTGTGTGTGTGTGTGTGTGTGTGTGTGTCCTTTCCCAGATATGTCTGGTGTCCTCTCCTGCTCCTCCTCCCTGATTAGTTATCACTTTCACCTGGTTTTCTCCCCTCACACCTGCAGCTCATCATCCCACCATTATGCCCCAGTGTATTTAAGCCCTGACTTGTCTCAGTGTCTTGTCGGTCCATTGTTATATTGTTGTCAGCGTTTGTTCATGCTCTAGTGAGCTTTGTGCCTCATCCCAGTTTTGTGCTCTAGGTGAGCTTTTGTTTCTTCTGGACTTTTGGATTTTGGCTCACTGCCATTTGGATTTATTTTTGTTCTTCCTACAATAAAAGGATTTTTTCTTTACATATCAACTCCTGCCTCGTGTCATCCTGGGTATCTGCATTTTTGGGTCCAAACCATCCCCATAATGTGACAGCGGATGAGATTTGTCCTGGGTATCTCAAGGCTATGGATGTTGTAGGGCTGTCGTGGTTGACACGTCTCTGCAACATTGCGTGGTCATCGGGGGCAGTTCCTGTGGAGTGGCAGACCGGGATGGTGGTTCCCATCTTTAAGAAGGGTGACCTGAGGGTGTGTTCCAACTATAGGGGATCACACTCCTCAGCCTTCCTGGAAAGGTTTCTCAACGGGGGCTGTAGCGCTCCCCAGTGGGCATTCAGAATATATAAGGGGGCGGTGAAAGTTTTTTGCCACTGAAGGGGGCGCTGAGATGCTAATGGTTGGCGCTAGCGATACAGGATATTCATAACGGACAATGGCTCAGAATAAAAAGAAGTGTCGACAGTACAATGTGGATTACCTTCGGTATGGATTTATTCCTTCACCCACGAATCCACAACTCCCCATGTGCCTGCTTTGTGAACAAGTTTTTTCAAACAAAGCAATGAAACCCTCCCGGCTTAAGGAGCACTTGTCCAAAATGCATCCAGACAAAGCTTCAAAGGAACTGAACTATTTTCAGGTAATTAAAGAGAGACACTCTAAGAGAGGTAGCATTAGCAGTATGTTTGCTCGAAGCTCGAATTTACTGGACCGAGGATTATTAGCTTCCTACAATATCTCGTTGCTAATAGCTAAAAGTGGGCTCCCGTTCACAGTTGGGGAAACGCTAGTGCTTCCAGCAGTGAAAGAGGCTGTCTCTACAGTCATGGAACAGGACTCGTCAGCAGTGGTAAACGCAATTCCACTTAGCAATGACACTGTGGCGCGAAGGATAAAAGAAATGTCAGTTGATACTGAGGAGCAGCTCAGCGCCACGCTCCGTGTCAATCGTTTCAGCATTCAGCTGGATGAGACCACAACAGGGGACAACAATGCTTTGTTAATGGCTTATGTACGTTATCTATCAGACTGTGGAGTGGCCGAGGAGTTTTTGTTTGGAAAATATCTCATAACTGACACACGAGGGCAGACTATTTTCAGCGCGCTGGAAGAATATTTTCAGGAGAAGTCTATACCTTTCAGCAACCTTCTTGCTTGTGCCACAGATGGTGCTCCCGCCATGGTGGGCAGGTACAGAGGCTTCATTGCTCTTCTGAAAGAGCGTGCGCCAGACATTCTTACTGTTCACTGTATTCTTCACCGTCACAACCTGGTGGCTAAAAACATCAGCCCTCAACTTCACAAGTCGCTGGATTTTGCAGTTAAGTCTATTAACAAAATCAAAGCCCACGCGCTAAATGACCGGCTCTTCAGACAGCTGTGCAGTGAAAATGATGAGATGTTTGAGCGCTTGCTGCTGCACACGGAGGTTCGCTGGCTGTCCAGAGGAAACTGCCTGTCTCGTCTTTGTGAGCTCTTTGCCACAGTTTTGGAGTTTCTTGGGACCAAAGATGTAGATCTCAGGAATAACTTGTTTTCCAGCCAATGTGACATTTTCTACCTTGCTGACCTTTTCGAAAAAATGAACGAGGTGACCCTCAAGCTCCAGGGAAATGGGGTGACACTGGTCCACTCTAAAACCACCATCTGCAGTTTTCTTGTCAAGATGGACCTGTACAGAGAGACTGTAGGCCGCCGGCAGTTTAACCACTTCCCTCGTCTGGCCACGGTATTATTCTAATATTCTATTATTATTCTGTTGTATTATTATTTTCTGCCTTAAATTAAATCTTTTTGCTATTCTTTGTATGTGCTTTCAGGTGTCAAGCAAGTTGACTGATGAGGAACTGCTGTGTTACACCGAGCACTTACGGATGATCAAAGCTGACATGGAGCTCCGCTTCAGGGACCTTCAGAACCTGCAAGTGCCTTACTGGATTCTGGAGCCTTTTCAGGTGGATGTATTTGAAAAGGAACCCATAATCCAGGAGCATCTCATTGACTTACAAAATGATGAGGAGGCACAAGCTACATTTCACACATCTGGCTGGCAAGTGATGTGGACTGTGCATGGCCACCGTTTTCCTACATTGTGGGAAAAAGCCCTGATTCTGCTCCTAGCATTTCCCACTTCTTATCTTGTTGAGCAGGGATTCAGCCAGGTACTGTACATGCAGTCAAAATACCGAAACCGGCTAAATCTGATAGCCTCAGGTGCACTACGGCTCAAGCTATCGTCTCTCAATCCATCCACAAAAACACTTGCAGCAAATCACCAGGGACAAGGGTCTCACTAATCTACCCACAGCGATGATGACTCCACTTTAAGCAATTTTTTTATGATCCTTTTTTTTATGACATATTTGTATTAAAGAGTTTCAAATTGTTTTTTATTTATTTAATTATTTTTTTGTAATCATGATTTTTGTATCAAAAAACTTTCTGATTCTCTGCATTGGTGGGCAGTAAGGCATTTCAGCATGACTTAGGGGGGCGTTTAGCTGAAAAAGGTTGAGAAACCCTGGTCTACGCCAATGTACTGGAGAGGAGGCTCCGATTGATAGTTGAATCTCAGATTGAGGAGGAGCAATGTGGTTTTTTTCCTGGCCGTGGAACAATGGACCAGCTCTGTACCCTTGCAAGGGTGATGGAGGGGGCATGGGAGTTTGCCCAACCAGTCCACATGTGTTTTGTGGATTTGGAGAAAGCTTATGACCGTGTCCCCAGGGACACCCTGTGGGGGACGCTCCAGGAGTATGGGGTGGGTGGCTTTCTGTTAAGGGTCATTCCGTCCCTTTACCAGAGGAGCATGAGTTTGGTCCGCATAGCCGGTAGTAAGTCGGACCTGTTCCCAGTGAGGGTTGGACACCGCCAGGGCTGCCCTTTGTCACCGGTTCTGTTCATCACTTTTATGGACAGAATTTCTAGACGCAGCCGTGGTGTGGAGTGTGTCGAGTTTGGTGGCAGGAGAATCTCGTCTCTGCTTTTTGCGGATGATGTGGTCCTCCTAGCTTCATCCAGCTCTGACCTTCAGCTCTTACTGGGTAAGTTCGCGGCTGAGTGTGAAGCAGCTGGGATGAGAATCAGCACCTCCAAATCTGTGACCATGGTTCTCGACCGGAAAAGTGTGGCTTGCCAACTCCAGGTTGGGACAGAGTTCCTACCTCAAGTGGAGGAGTTTAAGTATCTCGGGGTCTTGTTCACGAGTGAGGGTAGGAGGGATCGGGAGATCGACAGGCGAATTGGTTCAGCGTCTGCAGTGATGCAGATGCTGAACCGATCTGTTGTGGTGAAGAGGGAGCTGAGCCAAAAAGTCAGGCTCTCGATTTACCGGTCGATCTACGTCCCAATCCTCACCTATGGTCATGAGCTTTGGGTAATGACCAAAAAAACGAGATTGCAGATACAAGCGGCCGAAATGAGTTTCCTCCGTAGGGTGGCCGGGCTCAGCCTTAGAGATAGGGTGAGGAGCTCGGACATTCGGGAGGGACTCGGAGTAGAACCGCTGCTCCTCTGGATCGAAAGGAGTCAGTTGAGGTAACTTCAGCATCTGATCAGGATGCCTCCTGGACACCTCCCTGGGGAGGTGTTTCGGGCATGTCCTGCCAGCAAGAGGCCCCCGGGTCGACGCAGGAAACGTTGGCGAGGTTACATCTCCAATCTGGTCTGGGAACGCCTTGGGTTCCTGCCGAAGGAGCTGGTGGAGGTGGCCCAGGAGAGGACGATCTGGAGCTCTCTAGTTGGGATGCTGCCCCCGCGACCCGGACCCGGAAAAGCGGAGGAAGACGCCTTAATTAAGTTTTAATAATTACATGACTCCCCACAGAAAAATAAGATACATAAAAAGTGAACATTTTAAAATCTGACTCCACTTCAGTTTTGCAAGATTTTTTTTTTGGGGGCATTATCACAGTGTGAATGAAAAGAGAAAATATTTCCATTTTAGCTTTTTAAGGAAAACTTTGCTGTAAAATGTTGAAGTTTCTTTGACGCACACGTTTGTATGATATGGGGGAAGCACAGAACTGCAAAAGCAGGGAATACATTGTTTTTCTTGAAGCAACCATCTTTAGTTTTGATCACATCTCTGCAAACTCTGCAGCTTCAGCCTCAAACCAAACGCATCCCTAAAAGGTCTTAAGGGGTTGAGCTGACTGAGTTAGTCAAGAGATGAACGATAGCACATTATCTCTTTCTTTTTCTTTTGCAGTAATCTTTAAAAAACCTGGAGGTGTGCTTGTGGTCACTGTCAGTGTGTGACAGAGTTGGGATCTTTTATAAAACACCTGAAGGTACAACATGTCACTGGAAGATGAAGTGATATCTGTGTTGTTTTATTCTTACCAACTCTGTCGGAAACAAACACCTCATGAGATGGGACCGTTGTTCACCATTTGGAAAGTTGATAGTTTGACACCTGGATTTTCCAGGCTGTGTGTCACATTGGAATGTTGGAATTCTCCATTATTTTCTAACTCTGCTGCTGAAATAAAATCTATTTGTTAGACATTAGAAATCTTTTGGATCAAATAGAAAAAAAACATGAATAGAAAGCAGAAGCGACAAAATAAAAAGGTGACAGACATGATTACTTCCAACAGAGCAAAAACAAAGCAACTCTCCTTTTACCAACGTGTTTACCTCCATGACATATAAAATACCCCAGCCCCAGTGGTGAGCCTGGAAATAGGTCCACTGCAATTTACATGTAAACCAAACATGCTCATCTACCTGCAGCATCTGGCGCTGACTCACCTCGAGATGCAAAAAGCACCGTGAGAATCATGTCCTTTGACTTCCCAAGTGCCTTTAACACCATCCAGATGTGTCAACTGCAGCAGAAGATGATGGTCCAACAACACAGATGCTCTGTATGAGTAGGGCCAAAGCCACCTCCACCTCCTGAGGAGGCTAAGGTCCTTCTGAATAAATTCCCATCAGCTAAAATCCTTTTATCACTCAGTGGTTGGCGCTGTTATCCACTCTGCAGTGATCTGTTGAGGTGCAGGCAGTTCTGACCGAGACAGGAAGAGACTGAACAAGCTAGTTCAGAAAGTTAGCTTGGTTCTGGGCTGCCCACTGGATACAGTTGAGGAGATGTGTGACAGGAGGATGCTGGTGAAGATGATCTCCATTTAAAAAAAACCTTCCTACCCACTGCATTCCACTGTGGAGACCATGGACAACTCCTTCAGAGGCAGACTGAAACATCCCAGATGTAAAACAGAACACTACTGTAGGCCATTCATCCCTTCTGCAGTAAGAGTGGATAACTCCTCCGTTTAACTGGTACTGGCATTATCCTGGTACACAATAACATCAATGTAATACTCAGTATGTGTTCAATATTTGTGTAATACCAGATTTACATGGTATGTCTATGTCCCTTCCATTGTACTGCATAGTTCTGGAACCCAAGTTTTTTTTTTTTTACTCCTGGTTTTTAGTGGTCAAAGTTCACAATAATAACTTATTCTGCCAATGTATATATACTAGTACCTTTGTTATTATTTTTTCTTCAAATTATTCTCTTAAGTGTTTGTGCTGCTGTAACAAGTGAATTTCCTCACTGTGGGATCAGTGAAGTCTATTCTCATGCTCCTCGCTGGACTCGTGAGATCTCAAAATACCTCGAGACTTCAAAGGTCACGATTTGTTTATGCCATCCACCATTAAAACAAAAAGAAAGTAATCCCATTTTATATCACTGTTTGATGTCATACAGTATATGATGTTGTCCCACTCCACTGCCAGAATTAAAGCAAAGAAAATCACACTGCTGCACTTCTGGAATGATGCTGGAAGTAAATAACCGTTGGGTCACCTGTATTGGTGTAATCTACATGGATATGAAATTGCATCGCAGCAAAAGTCTTTTATTTAGAAAATAACCAAAGGATTTTACACCAAAACCATATGTGGTTCCAATTATCTTTTTCTTCCTGTGAGACTGGTGGGGCGATGCCCCAGCGCCCATGGACAAGCTGCCAGAGATAATTCGAGATTTTCGAGAATTTATTAAATTTTATTGAAGGTTTTGAGTATTGGGGTCTTGGGGTCAATTAAAATGCTTGGAAGAATGCACTAGTGCTTGCGGAGACCAGAGACTGTGTCAACACTATGTAGTTTGTGGTTTTCATGGAGTTTATTTTATTTGGCAAGTTAAGAGAGGAAGCACTTCGGTTAATATGACCGAGGATGGTTTGTTTTTCTCATTGAAGCTGTGTACCTCCTAGCTTCTGCTGAAAGATACTGATGGTGCGTTCAATGCACCTCGCAAAAATTAGACCATAGCAGGCAAAGTATGAAGTAATCAATATAACCATGTTTTTTTACTGATGATATGCATTCATCGAAAGTTACATTGTGATTTAGACATCCTCTGTATCCAATGCCCACTGATGCTACCGGTGTAGTCACATCGCCAATGCCATCAATGAACTACCGGCTCAGATTGGTGAATCTCTCCATCCCAACTGTGAACTGTGCAACTGATGAAGTGAACTACTGTATTATAACATTAGGTGGTACTCCGAGAGACTAGTATGTTCTGAGGTGGTACTTGTTATAACAAGTTTTAAGACACTGGTCAATTACATCAAACTCGTGACTCTGTAATTCAGAATTTGTTTTTGTACATATGTTCAGTTATTTGATGTCAACAACTTTTGTTCCTTCTGTTTAACAAACTTGTTAGCAGCAGTTGTCATCCTGATGATTATCAAGATTAAAATTTGAATTTGGAAGGAAAATCTGTCATTTATTAGGAAAAACAACAGCTGGCCTCACAACATTTCAATCACTTGTTAACACAAACAGCAAAGCTTATAAAAACCTAATTATGAGCTAATGGATGTTTGGAGCAATAAATGAGTGCAGATTCCCTATTCATCACCGTGTAAAAGCAGGCCACCATCAGGTCCACAGGCAGAAAGCTGCTGATGAGGAAGCAGCCACTTCGTTGGAGTCGTGAGCCAGTACACAGCTTCTGGCTCATACAGAGCATGCTAAATATGCATCTGCAGCAAACTGGAGCATGACTGCTATACACAGGAATGTGTGTCACTTTGTCACTAGACCTAGCCCCGAGAGATGTGCTGCAAATCAGACACGCAATTTTCCCTCCAGTAGTGGAGAAAATACTCACATCTATTCCTTCAGAAGTCCTGCAGAGGGGGGATGCACCCCTCAGGTGTTTCTGCTTGACTGAACCTTTTTGATGGAATGTGTGGAAATGAATAACCTGTTTTTGTTGGCAAGATTATATGTTTTGTGTGTGTAAACATTCAGAACTCAA